CTACCGCCACGCCATTCTCCTCCCTGGAACGTGATTCAGAAATTTCAGGAATATATTGTGTAAAAAAAAAAGATTTGGGATTATATTGGTACACTACTACCGAATGTTGCTAATTTTAACACAATTAGAATGGATGGTATATTCTGGTATGATCAAATGATCTTTAGAATGGTGTATGCACATACATCCGTCACTAACAATCTTTTTCCACCTAATTTTGAGAGCCTCATTTTGCTTCCTCAAACACTTATTGAATGTTCACGGATGGATGTGTAACGTGCAATTACACTATGTGTACAGCTAAATCCAATCTAATATGCCTACCATAAACTCAGATATTGCGAACCACTTTTATGAGTATTGTTGAAGAACTACGACGATTCATTGGGGAACAGTTTTCGGTAAGATCAAAAGAACAAGATTAGTTAGGTTACCTTCACATTAGTCAAATTCTCTAGTCGAATCGCTTCAATCAATGCAGCTTCCCGAACAAATGCTTCATCATTCGATACACTGTGATTAATTTGAAGACACAGAACTCCATTCCCGCTTCCCCAAATTGAGTCAATCCGCTTCAGTTTCGCATTGGAAACCTTAATAATGCGTATAGGAGTTCAGGAAAACAATGAAGCTAGACAGTTTACACAAAGGCTTGTTATTCTTATAACCACATCAATATTTTTTTAAAGTTGAAGAGAACCTACCATTTTCGGAGATCCTGCATTTCTTTCCTTTTTAGCCTCGATCAAGTGAGCAAGGGGTCGAGCCTAAGTAGGTAATTAGAGGATGTATCAGGTAATGCCTAACAAAGATAAATTTATAAACAAACATAAGTATTCATAAATATGAGAACAGATACTGCATGGTTGAAAAAATAGTGCGGCGGTGCAATGAGCAACAGAAATCATATCCAAAAATGAAAGACGTGAGATTGGCACAAGTATAAGTGCAATCCGCTGTGCATCACATCAGCAGATAAATCTAATTTCCCGGATTTTAGGTGCGCACGATTACACTACTGTTGGATCAAAATCTACTTTACATGACTATGATGTCTATCACAATACTGTTTATAGCAATACACAAAGTTTTTCCGTGCAACTAAATTACCCACTTTCGTTCCTTTTCCTACATAAAAGATCGCTGGTACAAATGACTTCAGATCTAGTGCATCCAAATCTTCCATAATCTTTCTGGGATCCAACAAGAGGTAGCAAAATGCTGTGACACCGGCTGATTGGAACTCTTCACGTATCTGAAAGCCTCCATCGAGCCCATGTTTCATATAATTTCACAAGAAAAGTCCTACCCTATCATCGAGATCCTTTCCCAACTCTGAAGATGTCTTGCCCAACATAGCCATTTCTAATTGTCGCGAGTAGCGAATTCCTTTGATGTCAGCCATTTCACGCCGCATCAGCAGCAGCTTCTTCTCGTACATTCCGCGAGTTCTGAATGGACCCTCAGAGAAAACAATGAAAACTAGTGAGGGGTAA